AGAGCATGATCTTGCTTTGCATTATGGGTTTTTTTTCTGTGTGGGTGTGTGTGCATGTGTGCACAAGTATTCTGGCAGATTGAGTCCAGGACTGAGTTATAACCCCAGCTATGTTTGTTTGTATACATGCATGCATATTTATGTGTACGAAGGTTTTAGCATATGTGCGAGTAGTGACATGCACATGTATTTTGATTTGGATGGGATTCAACATGTGTATTTTAAGTAACATGTGTATATCAAAATGTGTGCTTTGACATGTATTCTTATCAACACGTGTTCTTATTGACACGTGCATTTCAAGATACTTGTGCATACTGATATGCATGCTTTTGTTGTTTTGTTTTGTCTTTTTGAGACAAGGTCTCACTATGCACTTGAGACTGGCATTGAGCTCATTTTGTAGCCTAGGCTAGTCTCAAACTTGCAACGATCTTCCTGCCTCAGCCTCCCAACTGCTGCAATGACAGGGTCTCACCTTACATGTATAACTACAAACACTAAATGGGCACTTGTGTATACAGCAGTCCTAAGCATTTCCTTCCTCATTATTCCCGATTGTTGTGGATGAATTCATCTTCTTTTTTCTCAAATTTGAAATACCTCTCTACTCTTCGCTTTCAGCCGGCTCTGTGAGTGCGTTTTGATTTGCACATTTGTTTTAACATGTATGTGCATTTTCATACGGAAGTGTGCTTTCACATGTGTGTACTAACATACATGTGCATATTTGTATTTACATGTATATTTACATGCACATGTGCATTGTATGTATTTGTATGTATATGTTCTTTAACTATTGATCTATACGTATTTGAGACAAGGTCTTACTAAATGTCACCTAGTGTTCTTAGTAGAGCATCATTATCATGAACCACTTCATTCTCAGAACACCCATAAAATTTAACATAACCCACTGATTGACCTGCAATTATTTTGTATTCATTCAACAAAGAGTTAAAGCAGTGTTTTATTGGAACTAACAATACCAAATCATACTTAGTACTGATTATGTGCCTGACACTAATCTAAATAATGGGGGAAACAAAGTAGAAAATGGCAATTCAAAATGGCCCCACTTCATTGGTAATTTCCAAAAGTAACAAAAAAAAATTCTTCCTTACGAGTCCCTTAATAAGGAAGAAATTCCACCTATACATGATATAGAGGAACCCTAGCACAGGAACCCTTTCATCAGATTATCAAAGCATATCCTCCAGTATCTTTTTCTCTTCTTTTCCTTTCTTTCTTTCTTTCTTTCTTTTTTTTTTTTTTTTTTTTGTGGTAGCAGGGATTGAACTCAGGACACTGTGCTTGCCAGGTAGGTGCTTATTCTACTGAGCTATCTCCCCGGCCCCCTTCTTTTTCATAAAAAGGGTGTCAAATATTGAGATTTTTTTTTTGTTATACAAACTCGAAATATTTTAATATGTCCAGAAGTAACATATAGGAAATTACAAACAATATAATTGAAAAGGCAAGAGAAGTTGCAGTATGCTCCTGGATGAACAATAAAGACCTCTCAATATGATAGTTATGCAAGACTATATAAAAAATATATTAGATGAACCCTTATTTAAAGGTCATTGCAGATTTCTATGAAACAGTACCAATCTTATGTTGGGTTATACATGTATTTTTTTCCCCATATATGTGTGTGTATGTGTGTATAAAAGACAGGAAAGAAATAATATAAAGTCAACAGAAAATGGAAATATACTTTTTAAAGTTGCTAATACTAGGAGAAGATATCATACAATGTCTTTTAAATAAATTGTAAGTCAAAGATATAGTATAATCTTAGAACAAATTTTGAGATCTTGCATGTGTACAGTGTATTTATCCCTTCCTCGCACCTATTTGAGAATCTGGCTGGACTCAGAACCCATTTTCCTTCAGAAAGTATTGTTTGCTTTTTTATCTCCTAACTTCCAATCCTAGTAGAATCTAGTTTCTGTCACTACCTCCTGCACCCCATACTAGGACTCCAGCATGCTAGCAAGTGCTTTACCACTGAGCTGCACTCCCAGCCCTGGCATGTAAATTGTGTTAGATTCTTGGTGAATCCTTTTAATCCGAAAACTCATGTCCTTTGGTTCTTTGGGTCAAGTGGTAACTACCTGCTATCCCTCCTTGTTGCAGACACCTGCAGATTCCTAAATCATTCTGTCCTCCTTAATTACAAAAGATGTTAGCTTCTGGATCACTGTCTTTCATTATTACCACTCCTACCTTAATTCACACTAATCTCACTTTGTACCACTATCCTCACCTCTCAATTACTTGACTCCTCTTCTCCAAAAGTGTTGCCCTATATCCTTCAGTCATTCTTTCCCACATCACATACATTCAAGCTGTTCAACACAGCTGTATGGAAAGCAGACAACTATGCTAACTGGGTCTCGCCTTACACTTACAACTACAAACACTAAATGGGCACTTGTGTATCCAGCAGTCCTAAGAATTTCCTTCCTCAACACATTATTCCCCATTGTTGTGGATGAATTCATCTTTTTTCTCAAATTTGAAATATCTCTCTATCTTTCACTTTCAGCCTGAAGATTATCTTTTTATGTACCTGAGAATACAAAAATACAATCCTTGTGCTCAGGAGACAAAAATCAAAAATACCAATGACTAATATATCCTTAAAAAGAAGCCTCTAATTCTGAGCAACAGTATTTTAACTCCTGATCTCCATTCTCTACCTGTGAAAATGAACTCCCATGGTGGAAGAAAACCACACTCTTGCAATTGCAAAGTCTATGTATGTATGGGTCTTTAGGAATGTAACTTCACCAGTTCAGCCTGCTTCTTTCATCACTCGGGAGTCAAAGATAGCAAAGAGACTAAATACAGGTGACAGGAAAAGGCTAAGCCCAAAGTTACCTAGGAACGTTCAACATCAAAAGTGATGGAAAAGTGGGAAAGCTTCAACAGATAAGAAAAGCATGCTCAATTATATAGAGGTCGGGAAAGGAAAGTAAAGGCACAGGCTAGCCAGGCGTTGGTGTTACTCCTTGTCTGAAATCTAACAGTTTTCATTCAAACCACTGATTCAGAGTTAGGGATGACTCACAGTCAGCCACCATACTTATAAAAACAAACAAACAAAAAACCCCAACAACATAAAAACACTACCTTAAGGTGGAGCATGCCTGTTATCCAGCACTTGGGAGGCTGAGGCAGGAGGATCATTGAGAGTTCAAGACCAGCCTGGGCTACAAAGTGAACTCAAGGCAGCTTGAATTGCACAGTGAGACCCTGTCTCAAAATGACAAAAACAAAACAGGACAAAAAACCAAAAACAAAACAAAACACTGTCATGCTCCTAGAAACAAAGAAGGTAGCAATTTACTGTAAAATTGACTTTGCTCATCCTAGAGGTTCTAAAAACTTAAGATTGCTGAGCTCTTAAAAAAAAAAAAAAAAGATTGCTGAGCTCAAGATGATCTGGGATAAACTCCAAAGCTACAGAGAACCTAGATTTAATGGATGGCTGCTTGGAGTTCTAAAGCCTCCTCTGGAACTTCTAAACAAAGTTCAAATACTTTCAAACAGTGAAAAAGTCTGGCAGAAACGTTGGAACGGACTGGAGATGGTTGCCACAACAGCTAAACACTCAAAACTAAGTCCACACAGGGCATTAAAGGTAGAAGAGTTCACAGGACGTCAAATTAGAAGAAAACCAGGACTCCTCTTTCCTCTTTTATGCATTCAACAAACATGTATTAGTTGGGGGTACTGCTATATGGGAAAGATACCGGGAAGTAAAACGGTCAAAATTCTAAGAATCAGTTTTTTGTTCTTTCTCCACCCCCCCCCCCTTTTTTTAAACGTTTTTACTTTTTATGCATTCAGGTCTACTTAAGACAACCTCCCAAAACACATTAACAGGTAGCACACCTTAAGTACCATAACAATATAGAAAGTCATTTAACATATACATTGACAACCTCCTTTCAAAGGAACAATACTATATTTGCTTTATTAAGTGGCTACAATAAAGAAAAAGCAAACAAATTTAAAAAATCCCTTTTCTGATTTTATGACAGTTTAGCAGCACCAAAGCTCATTGCCCACACCCTCGCTTTCCCTGCCCCTTAAGGTCTCTGCCGCAACCGCTCAATCATTCCAACCTCCACACTTCGCTAGCGACCCCCATACCAGCGCCGTCACAAACAATAACCACACTACTGTATCAAGATCAATCCCCAAAATACAGGGAGCATATTCTCCTCCAATAGCAGACCCTTCACATTACCGAGCTAACCAGGGGCTCTGTGTCTAGGTTCAGAGGCCTGGCATTTCGGGGGTTATCGACCTCTTTTCTCTATCCATCCAGCTAATTTTCTCTCCTGTGCCCCAAATGACCTCCACTCCGTCGCCCTCCCTCCAACTCAAGCTCCCATTTGAGTTAGAGACCTTGCAATCCAGGTTGGGGGAGGAAATGCGAGCGGGGGTGGGAAGGTGGGGGATCGGCAGTAGGGAAGACGCCGTCCCCAAGTATGTCCGCAGGGGTAATCTTTAGGGAAGCCGCTGTCAAAGGCAAAGGCTCTAGACCCCACAATAGCGGGGTTTTAAGGCATGCCGCTTCTGCGGGGCACCCATCTGAAGTTCTTCACAAGGGACCTATTGTGTGAAAGAAATATCTTATGAAGGTAGCCGTTGGGGAGGAGGATGCCACGGCGTAGACAAGTGAGTCATGGAGAAGTCACTGGGGGATTCTCTACAGGGGAATCTTTCTGGGGAGAAAGCCCTATGATTGTGTCACAATAGGGAGTCTTCACGGGGACCGTTGTAGGATTGTCTACAGAGCAGCCAACCCCAGGAACCTCTGCAGATGGCGCCGCTCCGGGGAACGTTCCTCCAGTAACCGTCCCAAAGACGCGTCCGCAAGGAAGCCATGTCGGGCCACGCCCTTCGATGGGAGGCGTCGCGGGACCCCAACACCCCGCATCCCCGCTCCACCGCCCCTCTGCGGCCTCGGCCCCACGTACCTGATGGAAGGCGACCCGCGTCCGAATCCGCCAGGCGCCCGGGCGCGGAGCAGCCCCAGCCGGTGCGAGGGGTACACGTCCATGGCGGTGAAGGCGGTGGAGCGGCGCCGCAGCGAGGGTCGCGCAGGCCTGCGGGGCGGCTTCAGGCCCGGCGGCCGGGCGGG